TATTTATTTATTAGATAAATTAGTTTTGTATTTTAATTTTGATATAAAAGTAGGGTGGGAATGAATCTCCCTCCCGAGCCCCATATAGCCCGGAAAAATTTCTCTCAGCTCCTCATTTACAAAGATCTTTAGAATGGGGTCGACCTCATTTAGGGGCGGGAAAGAATTAATTTTGTGTTTTAGTTTTTGATATAAGAGTGAGACGGAAATGAATTTTCATCCTCAGCCCCATTTATATAAGAGAAATCTCTCTCGACTCCTCGTTTACAAAGATCTTTGGAATGGAGTCGATGTGTTTTAGTTTTGATATTAAAGTGGGGCGGGAATGAATCTCTATCTCCGACCCCATTCAGCTCGGAGAAATCTTTCTCCGCTCTCAGGAAGATCTTTAGAACGGGGTCGGCTAGCTCCGAGGTTAGATGGACATCTGGTTCTTTAGTTCGAGGTTGTTTTGTCCATGTCAGCAAAAGCAAATATATATATATATATATATATATATATATATATATATATATATAGCGAAAAAATTGAGGAAGAAATGATTTGGTTTTGATTAATACAAAACACCCGAATTAAACGGTCTCCTTCTCTAATGGGGAGAAAGTGGTTTCCGCTACTCTTGGAGTTTGGAGCAATGAATCGCCACAAACATATTGAAAAATCCATGGCCTCTCCATTTCCATTACTGAATCTCTCCGTCTCCCTCTCTCGCATGATCGTAGTTGAAGATGGAGAATTCTCAAGATGATCTGTTGTGTATCAGATGTCGGATCAAGAAGAGGAGCAGAAATGGCAATAGAGATCACGACACCGAAGGCCAGAACTGCCGTAACATGGGAGCCAGTTTCTATGATTTCTTCTGCTCTTTGCTCTTTTCCATCTCTTGTCTTGCCTGCTTGCTCTACTCCGAGCTCATCTTTGGCTATGGCGACGCTGGTACAATCCTCCAACCTCTTTACTTCCCCTTTTATTGTTATTATTATTGTTCTCCCGAACAGGATAGCGGATACTTTTTAGTTGATTGTTTTGGTACTGTTTGATTCATTTTTCTACAATCTTTCGCTGTTTTATTGGTAATGAATCCTTGGTTTGAAATAGGACAAAAGTAATTGATTCTGCGTCGGTATAATCTTGGCTGATCTGGACGCTTTTTGTTTAGAAATTCTGTGTTTGATGATGGTAGGATTAGTTTGCCGATCTGTAATGATTTGGAAGGTTTTTCCTTCTACTTGTACCTTAAATTAGGGTAGAATGACTTCAGTCATATTTTCCAGGAGATTCTTCTTCTGTAAACAAAAGCACTCTTTGCCCTAGTAATGGAAACCAGAAGCTGGGTGAACACGCCTATTCATCCAGAGCAAATGGAAGAAACAGTATGAGCTCTGGATCGTCTTTTGAACTTAATGTGTCAATGAACTGTAATGAATCCTATGTTCATCACAGCTATGCAAATTCCAATTACTCACTTCTAGAGTCAAAGGAATTTGAAGCAGTATTGAGTGCACTAGGATATTCATCTTTGATGTGTAAAGTTCAACAGCCAGAGAAGAAGCCACGCTCAGCAGAACATCAGGAAGGTCCTGGTAGCAGAAGTTCTCACTCCACTTATCTTAATTTGGATGAATTCCGCAACATTACAATGAAAGATAAAGAAGGAAAAGTGCCTGATCAGTTAGTTAACATCACTCATCGGCTTGAACCCGATGGATCGGATTACAACTATGCGTCTGCGTCGAAGGGTGCAAAGGTGGTTGCTCATAACAAGGAGGCAAAAGGAGCATGTAATATATTGGAGAAAGACCATAATAAGTACCTGAGGAATCCTTGTTCTGTGGGAGGGAAGTATGTTGTGATTGAGCTCTCAGAAGAGACCTTAGTTGATGCTGTGAAAATTGCAAATTTTGAACATTATTCTTCTAATTTCAAGGAATTCAATTTGTCTGGCAGTTTGAGTTATCCTACTGAAACATGGTCTAAATTGGGGAACTTTGTTGCTGCTAATGTGAAACAGGCTCAAGTCTTCAAGCTGCCTGAACCACAATGGGTTAGGTACTTAAAGTTGGATCTGCTTAGTCATTATGGGTCAGAGTTCTACTGCACATTGAGTATAGTAGAAGTCTATGGTGTTGATGTCATGGAGAGGATGCTTGAAGATCTCATTGTCACCTCTTCAGAAGCTATGCCCAAGAAAAATTCCCTAGAAGAGCCTAATTCAACCGTGTCGCCCTCTTTAAAATCAGATGTTGGCGCAGCTAATGAGATAGAAAATGATGACAATAACTTATTGAGGGCTGGGGCAGGGACAGAAAGCATGGATGATCCGACGAGTCTTGGTCTAGAGGTTGCAAAAAATCCCATGAATGTTAACAAATTTCCTGACCCTGTAATTGAAGCTAGACAACAGCTAAACGGTAGAATACCTAGTGACACTGTCCTGAAGATCTTGATGCAGAAGGTGAGGTCACTTGAGGCTAATTTGTCTGTGCTAGAGGATTATACCAAAGAAATGAACCGACGACAAGGGAAACTTTTACCAGATCTTGAGAAAGAGATGGATAGAATGTCATTGCTTCTGGAGAATACCAAGTTAGTCATCAAGGATCTCATGCTCTGGAAGGAAACGACTGTGAGTTACTTACTACTTTCTTGCATCTTCTGAGTAGTTACTACAATAAAGAGCTCCCATCGTTCTGATAGTACTTGTATACCTTTACCACTTTTTAGGAAAAAGAAATGGCTCACTTCAAATCATGGAAGATGGCTGCTATATTGGAAATGAATGAATTGGTCAGAGTGAATAATATGCTCAGGTTAGATAAAAAAAAACTTCTCCAAATACACGAACTTTATGTACTTGTTTTTCTTTTTCAACAAATTAGCTGCATCCGTTTGGTTAGTGCTGTGTGTCTTATATTGGCCAGACCCAAAACAGCAGAACGAGTTTTCATTGTCTCATTTTCCATTCATGAGGGGGTTAACTAGGTTCCCTTAACTTTCCCGCACCGGAAAGCAAGCTTCCTTGTCCCCGTTTCCTTCCCCGACACCAATTCCCCATGCAATATCCCACATGGTTAAATCCTCATTGGACAGGCAGGATGGGGATCGAGACAGGAAACATATTCTTCGTTACCCTCTCCCAACACTGCCTCGGTGACATCTCTACTAGGACGGGATGGATTTATACATTTTATATTGAACTTTAAAGGCTTAAATGTTAGTCATCACATGAATTTCTTAAACTTAAGGTAGTACTCCAAATTGGAGACCATAAACCATTTGCCAACCTCCATTTTTCAAAGATCAAAATATGTGTAAGAAAAACCTAATGGACATTGAGGATTGCATAACATGGGTAGCATTTTGAAGCATAGTTGAGATGATTTCATTTATTTTTTGTTCACATATTTATCTGAATGTTCATCTTTTGACTTCCATCTCTCTTACTAGAAGTTGATTTTTCTGGTTATCCTTTAACCTCCCCTCCTCCCCTTCCCCCTGCCCCTCACTCTCTCTTATTACAGCTTAGATATTGAAAAAATATCCAGCGACCAAACCATGCTAGAAAGCAAAGAACTTGCGGTGCTAGCCGTGAGTTTTCTTTTCATGTGCATTGCAACTCTGAGGCTACTATCTGCTAGAATTCTCGCGTTCATTGGAGATTGTCAATCTGGGAAGACGTGCTCGACGAATGGGGTTTGGGTATGGATACTTGTTAGCAGCATGATGACGGTAATCCTTGCTTTCATATATAGTTAGCAACTGTTGTTTCCTTTTTGTAGTTCTAGTTTGGATACCCTTCACCCTTTATGGAAAAATACAGAGGAGAGAGCTTCATTCACCATGGATTGTTACCCTGTAAAACAAGACCATAAAAAGGGTCCCCGGAGATGGAGGAAAATGAGGTAAGCTGGAACCCTTTCCTCCTTAGCCACTCAATGCCCCTTCTACTCTGATGTATTCTTCAAACGCGGCTAATTTTAGGTATTATAAATATATTTGACTGAGCTCTTCTATTTTGACTGTGTATACATAGCTATCATTTTCTTCTTCTAGCCTCGGAAGAATGCTATAAACAGCAACTTTCTTGCGCCACAATTGTTTAGCTTATTATGATGGTGTGAAGGTTACTATTTCTTGCTCCTTAGATGCCAAAGCTTAAAACCTTATAACCTTATTTGAATTTCTGATTAATTGACTCTAGAAGTTCAACGATTATATGACATGATAGGAGCAGGAGATCGATCTACTGAACCTTTGAGATGGTGAATATGTAATAACTTAATGTAATAGATGTTAGACGAACACGACTCTCCACAATTATATGATATTGTCCACTTTGAGCATAAGCTCTCATGCTTTGCTTTGGGTTTCTCCAAAAGACCTCATACAAATAGAGTTAATATTACTCATTTATAAACCCATAATCCTTCCCTAAATTAGCCAAGTCAAAAGGCATGTCAATGTCAAACACATCGGACATTATCACATCGGACATTATGAAAATTATGAAAATTTCGAAGGAAAATGTGAGATAGGACCACCAAAAACTGCCAAATAAGACTAAATCAATATTGGCCCCCCAAAAAAAAAAAAGCTGACGTGGCAAGCACCCACTGAATCCACGTGTCCATTCATATGCCACTTAATCACACAAAAAATTGAACCAGCCGCCGGCGAGTAAGTTAATCCACGGCCCTTGAAGACCTCAAGCCCGCCCTCCGCCGACGAAACCCGGACCGAGCCAAGAACTGGTGGCCCAGACTGGCTCAATTCGGTAAAAGAAAACATATTTCTAGATTTGCAATGGGTCGACCCGGACCGGTTTCTGCGGTGGAGACCGGAGCGAGGCGGCAGGGGTGCGGCGGAGCCTGTAATGAGAATGGTTTGATCCATTGCCCTGTTTGAAGAAGATGAAGTTTGAACTCCATTTTTATGGCCAATCATTTCAGTCGTGATTAAACATATTTTTATTAATTGATATAATATTTGGAACAGTAATATTTATAGTAGACAAAAACGTTACATATATCATAGCATATTATAAATAAATATATATAAAAAAAACTTTAGGAGTATAATTATGTACATAAATATATTTATTCTAAGCTTCTAGAGAGAGAGAGAATTAAGAATTTTGGTGGGAAAGAACATCAAGAAGAGAGATGGCCTCCGGAACGCTGAGCTCAAGCCGGAATTTTGGGCCGTCGTAGTGGTGAAGAATTGGCCTGAACGAGTCCTCCTCCAATGGCTCACATATTTCCCTTCTTATCACTCTCACCTGCACACCCCATTTCATACTTACTCGTCAAAATTACTATATTACCCCTCAATTCAAATTTTATCAACGTTTCGAAATTACCCTTTAAAAGTAGAATCATGATAAAAACGAATGTGATAGTGACTTGAAACTGTATGGCTATGTTCGATGTTCAACCTTAATTTTGGTTATGGATCACTATTACACGATTTCAAATCCTAATTTTCTTTCAATATTCTAACGAATTTATCGCTCAATAGCAACATTTTCAAACATCGTGTAATATAGCATTTAATTTTGAATTTGTCATACAAACTTTCAATTACATTTTAAATTTATTCATCTATCTAATTTCTTAAAAATTAAATTCATTTCAAAATTACCATATTACCCTTCATCTTTTATAAATATTTCATTACCATACTGCCCTTCATCTTTTATATTATAAACATTTCAAAACTATTCGAAATAGAATTACCATACTACCCTTTATCACTACCCTTCATCTTTTATAAACATTTCAAAACGACTCGAAATGGAATTACCATACTACCCTTCATCAAACATTTCAAAACTCCTCGAAATAGAATTCTTCTAGTTACACTATTTCAAATTCTAATTTTCATTCAATTATTTCAAAATTACTATACTACCCTTCGTTTCAAAAACATTTTTTTCTAATTGATAGCATTTAATTTTGAACAATAAATTCACACATATAAAAAGAAGTATATACCTGAGCAGGGAAACGGGATTCTCCCGGACATTTCTTGTCCTCCCAAGCCGTCGGATCAATATTTGTCCCTCCAAAGCTTACGGCCTGAAATCATTTAATTATTACTTTATTAATTAATTAATTAATTAATTAATTACTTATTATGAAATAATCTATTTTTCCCCCAATTTTTAAGCAGAAAAATGAAAAATAAAATAAAATAAAATAAAAAATCGGGACCTCGAAAACGCCGTGGAGTTGGTGCGTAGAGTAGTTGTACAGAAAAAGCGGCAGCCCCGGCGTTATGGCCCTAACCGAATCCCTATACCGCGGCGGCAGCCCAAACAGCTGCCGTTTCAAATTCTCCGCCATCGTCTCGTTATTGCACACGAACACATACCCCCCGATTCTCTCGTTCCTCGGCAGCGCCTCCGCCGCCGGCAGCGTCTTGAACCTCTTCTCCACCGTTCCGTTTTCGTTTTTCCCTTTATTCCCCTTCTTTCCCCCTTTCCCTCCGCCATGCTCCGCCTCCTCCCCGCCGCTTCTATAGTTCTTCCAATTCAAATTCCCGTTGCCGTTCGCCGGTGTCCCCAATTTGTAGTACAATCCCTTGCTGTAATTCCCTCCGCCGTTGCTAATTCCGATCTCCTTAGGGTTTTGGTTTTTCACCGTTGTTCCGTTGATTTTCCACCCGTCGTTGAATCCGTTGTAATCGCTGGCGGTTTTCGGCTTTAAACCGCTCCATAACCCGTATTCGTTTATTGGATCCTTGTTACTTGTACCCGACCCAATCGGGTTCGGCTTCGGGTTCAGAAGATTTGACCCGAGTCCTGGCTTGAAACTGTTCCACGTTCCGAAGTCGTTCACTAGATCGTTGACGTTGGTGTTGCCCGACCCGAGCTGTTTCGAGTTCAGGCTACTGCCTACAAGATCCGACCCGGTTCCTGCCTTGAATCTGTTCCACATTTCGTAATCGATCACCGGGTTCTTGAGGTTATTACCCGACCCGAGTGGCTTCGGGTTCGTGTTGCCACCTAGAAGATCCGACCCGAATGTCTTGAAACTGTTCCAGCCGTCTGATAAGACACCATAAAATTAGAAAGCAAAATATTAATTAAAGGAACAATATAATAAATAATAATAATTACAAATTTAGTCTCGGAACATTTAGTCATGTTTAATAGGTCTACAAAAGTTTTTTTTTTTTGTCGATCGAATACTATAGGGATGTACACGAGTTGGTGACCCGAAAACAGAGTTCACGACCCAATTCAACTCAACCCTTTATTCTCGAGTTTAGGTTAGGTCGTCCGATTATTTATTTTTAAAAAATTATACTCATGAACAATATATATTACATTAATAACTAAAATCTCATCAAATCAAATATCAAACATTCAATATCTCTGGACGATGAAGGTCCCACATCAGCTAATTTTGGAAATGATCGTGGGTTTATAATAAAATAATACTTTCTCCATTAGTGTGACGCCTTTTGAGAATCCTAAAGCAAAGTCACGAGAGCTTATACTCAAAGTGGACACTATCATACCAGCAGAGTCGTATTCGTCTAACATCATTAACATCGATTATAAGCGTCAAATTTAGGGTCCGTGGATTCATGAGACGAAAAAATAGTTTCAAATCATACCAAAATTTCAACCCAATTCAAACTTATGAATTGGGTTCGGTAGTTTGTGCACGTTATGGATCGGGTCATAAGAATTCAAATCACATATTGGAGTGAATTAAATTTATCATAACTCATCAACTTAAGCAAAATTATTACCGTTAGTAAAGGTGTTAGGGTTGGAGGCGAGCTTGGAAGTAGAGTTGGAAGAACCGAGCTCGGCTCCAACTCGAACATCGAACGAGTTATGGTTGTTGCGGGAGACAAAGGAGTTGCTCCAAATGGAATCATTGGTGGACAAATTGGCAAGGCCGGCGGTCTGGAGACGAAGCTGGTCGCTGAATTGCCAGAAAGACTGCTGGTTGCTGCTGTAATTTTGATCCATAACCGGATTTCTTCACCTCGGAATCGCCGAAAACAAAGAACAAAAACTAAACACAGGGGTAATTCGGGAATTATAAGAGAGAGAAAGGGAGAGAGTGGGTGTTTGAGGAGAGAGAGTTGGTGGAGAAATGGAGGATAAATAAGGGAAACTGGAGGGGGCAAAAGGGAAATTTCCTCCAAATGGAGGATGCCGCGGAAATTTCCTCGATATTTCTTTACGACATAGTCAAGGATGTCCATTGCTAGTCGATATTGTCCATTTTGACCCGTTATGTATCACCGTTAACTTCACGATTTTAAAACACGTCTACTAAGAAGAGGTTTCCACACCCTTATATTCCGTTCTCCTCTTGGATCTCGCAATTCACCCTTTTTGGGGCCAGCGTTCTCACTGGTACACCATTCAGTGTCTGGTTCGGATATCATTTGTAACAACTCAAACCCACCACTAACAAATATTGTCGAGTTTCTCATCAAGATTTTGAAATGCGTCTGCTAGGAAGAGATTTCTATTCTCCACTCCCACACTCCCACCCCTAGTAGATATTGTTCTCTTTGAGCTTTCCTTCTTAGGCTTTCCCTCAAGGCTTTAAAACGCATCTACTAGAAGAAGGTTTCCGCACTCTTATAAATGGTGGTTTGTTATACTCCCCAACCGATGTCGGACATGACAGAATGACTTTCAATTCTTACTTTTTTAAATTTAAATACCGAAATAAATATATTTAAAAGTTTTGAAAGTTTAAGGAAATATTTGAGACAAATCTACAAAGTTTACCACCGACTATCAAAGAACTGAACACATTTCTAATACCGACAACCGCTCGAGTTAATTTTTTTTATTTTTTTAAATTTGTGAGATCAATTAATTAAATAGGTTGAATTTTCATTTATGTTTGTTGAACTAATGCTTGAATGCTGATGTGAATGACGGCAGAAAAAACGCGTTTTTTATGGGGAGCGTGACACATCCACTCCTTGCTTTATTTCTTTATTTGTTATTCTTCACATTTTTATACGTTAATTATAAACTTTATTACAAAAAAAAACAAATTTTGTTAAATTACAAAATTACCCTTACTAGTTCCGGCTTATTCAAATTTATATTTATCTCCTATGGTATAAAAAAAATATGATTTACGTCACACTCAAGTAAATAAGAGATATATATTATAAAAAGAAATAAATGATTAAATTAACTTATTCAAAGTCCCACCATTAATTTTTTCTTCTTTTTTTAATAATACAGATTGAACCCTTCAAAATGGTGCAGTTTTCAATTACATTTAATACTATTAATAATTTCGATCTGTTATTGCCATTTAGTCCTTAATATTTTAAAAGTTTTGAAATTCACATATTTATTAATAAAATGATTGTGTACCGAGATTGAAAGTATAATTTGACTAATAAATTAGACTAAAAAATATTTTCCGTCCCTCCCTCTATAGAAATGTTGACTTAGTATTCAAATCGTCGATTTAGTCGATGTACAATTTAATTTATATAGTTTAATCTTAATGATTTAGTTCATATCATGTAAAATCATGTCAAATCGTCAATATTGTCTGTTTCAATCCGTTACATATGGTCGTCAGCCTCACAGTTTTTAAAACGCGCAAGTCAGGGAGATGTTTCTACCCCTTATAATAAATGTTACGTTTCACTCTCCAATCAATGTAAGATCTCACAATTCGCCGCCTACGGCCCAGTATTTTGCTATGATACCATTTATAACCGTCCAAATTTACTAGATATTGTCCTCTTTAAGCTTTTCCCTTTCAAACTTTCTCTCGAAATTTTACATAAATTACAAGTTTAGCCCCAAGTCTTGTATTGGACCTTCAATTTCCAAATATTTAATTATATTTATTATTTAACGGATTTAAAAATTTCGGGACCATATAATAAAATATTAAAAGTTTTAATTACACGTAGCATCCTGGAAAGAGTGCACCGCCGTGAAATAAAATTTGCTTAGGAGCTAAGTCTTGGAAGGGGATTTTTCAATTGACTTGACTGTCATGTCTGTGACAGTGATTTGTAAACGTGGCGTATAGCTATTGGGTGTTGACTGAATACTTTTCAAATGCGTGTTTATGTGGCGTAATGAGGAGCAGACTTGATGGAACTCTGGGCGGGACTGAGGTACACTATTATGTACTCCGGTTTATACTATTTTCAATTTTCTATTTTTATAAATATCAATAATTATGAATTTACTTAATTAACCTTAACATGAGGACAAGAAAGCTTGATTTTTTTTTTTTTTTTTTTTTT